AAAAAATAATTTAAATGCTCAAGAAATAAAAAAAAATATGGGGATGTAGAGCGCAAAAAAATCCACACCCCAATTTTTTTTTTTCATTATTCTTTGGGTAGTTTTCTCAACTTAAAACGGTTTCCCGCCCGAACCGAAAGGGCCAAAGCATACTATAAAACGGATTTCACGTCAAATATTTTCAAACTCCCGCTCGAAAGGGCCTGAACGCGCCCCACTTTTCTGAAAAAAAAAAAAGAAAAAAAGATGTGGTTTGAGTCTCGCTAGGTTTTTTATTTTTTAAAAATAATTTAAATGCTCAAAAAATAAATAAAAAATATGGGGATGTAGAGCGCAAAAAAATCTACACCCCAATTTTTTTTTTTTTAATTATTCTTTGCCAGCGAAAAAAAAATTTGCGGGCCGCGTTGTACCGCGTTCTAACGTGGTATAGCGCGGCATTGTAACGGGGGTTCAACGGACGTTGAACCGTTCAACAGGAAACCCCCGCTGAATCGAATTTCGGACACATAGCCTTTGCCCGTCGTGAAGAGGCTGGTCGGGCATTGGACGCGGGGCGCCTGGTGCAGTGAACCCAGTCGCGTGCAACCCCTGTGCCTCCCCCGACATCCCAGCTGCCTCGCCTCCACCCATCTCGCCTCTGCCGTCGCCGCTGCCGACTGCCTCATTATGCAACCCTGCTGAAGTCGCCTGGCATGCAGTTGCCTCCCCCTGTGCCCCTGCCGAAGCTGCCTCGAGCACAGCTGCCTGCCCCTGCGTCCCATAGCGAACCTCTGTCACTGGATCGACGTGGCCAGCCGCCTGTGCGTCAGGGGGCATCTCCATAAACATCCCCAACTGTCTCTGTTGCTCCTCCGCCGCTAGGCGGGTCAACTCCTCTGTCCGGGGGTTAGCTCGTGCCAGGAGGCAAGCTCGACGACTATCAAGCCTGTCCAACCTCTCTGCCAATGTCTCGCCAGGGGGTGTGGCCTCCTCGTCAACCTCAACCTCCGCTGGCGACGCACCTAACTCTCCATGCATGGCAGGCGTGAAAGTCTTCGGCTGCATGGCGCTGATCTGGTCTAATATGGCCTGCATGCCGACAGACAAGTCCCCCTGAGAATCGCTCTCTCCGGGCGGCAGTCCCAAATCACCAAGCTGACTAAAACCTCCGCCGCCGCCCATCGACATCCTGTCATCACCACCCCACCCAACATCGTCTGTCTGAACCGCCTCCTCAATTGGACTACGCCCATCTCCTGCGAACGAAGGAGTACGTCCAGCAGTCGGCCTTTCCACAACTCTTTCGACCTTCTTAGTCGGTGAAGGACCGCCCACCAATCTCTCCTCTATTCGCTGTCTCGGGCCCTTCACCAATCTATGCAATTGCCGTCTCGGGGGCGAAACTAGATGAAGCTCCCCAGACGGAGGGGGAACAACGCTGAATGAAGCCATCCCACTGCGTAAACGTCCGGGATGCTGCCCAAGAACACCGCCACCGCAAGCTGACTCTGCCCCCTTGGAACGCGCAGAGTCGTGCACAGCCTGCGTATCGACATACTGTGGCCTCAGAGACGAAGGCCGCTCTCGCTCAAAAGGGCTCTCGTCACCTCCACCAAAAAGGTCGCCCCTGCCGCTACGTCTACAAACCTCCTCCGGGTCGCTCCACTCATCAGCCTCCTGCGAGGCCGGATGGTCTGCAGGTCCCGCCCGCTGTCAGAAGGCGCGGTATCCCGGCCCTCCTCTGTGTGCCAAAGTCTCTGCCCGGTATCGATATTTTGTTTTGTGGCCTGCGGCTCGCTGGATAGTTTCCGAGCCCCTGTAGGCCTGGTACTTGCAATGTGTCTCAGCACGGACCAGCCTTGTTGGCGTTGCCTTAGCAAAAAGGTGCGCTGCAGGGCTTTCCATTGGTCCACGCAGACTCGGCGCCCTGCTGTACAACAGAGCACAACCGGCATGTGGCCGTGGTAGCCGCCGGGTTCGCCCTGGGACGCGAGAGTGAGGGGGCTGGCGCAGTCTTTTTTACTGCGCGCTGAATGCCCTCCTGCTAGGTTATGGGTCAGATACACGAAAACGAAAATAGGTAGCTGTCGGAAAGAAAAGAAAAACGGAGTAAGGGGTGGACAAGGAAATTTAAAAACGAAAAAGGGAAATAGGAAATTTAAAAAGAGAAAAGGAAATGGAAAGCCTGATCGGTACAATAATCGAGGCCGTTGCTCTAATCTAGGGGTAATTCGGCGACAGCTGTCCGCCCAATATTATTACTGTTATTATTAATTTACCTATTTTAGGAAGGGGGTTCACTCTCGGTCGCCGTCACTTCGTAGGGAGGTCAACTGTTTGAGTTTCGAGTTTAGGTGGTGGTATTGCGGCCTAGGCAGGCCTGACCCTTCGAATATCGCCTGTATCGGGCCTGTGCATCTAAGCCCCTCACAGTGGGACCTAGCTATATTGGAGGCCAGATACAGTGGGATTTGCGTGGACTTGTACCGCTACTCAGGCGGAGTTGTTGCGCGGAGAAAAAATTAAATCGCCACTCTTTTCTTCTTCTTCTTCTTCTTCTTCTTATTATTATTATTATTATTATTACTCTACCGGTTCTTGGACGCGGCTTCCCTTTTTGTTTTCCGTCACTTCGCGGGAAAATCAACGGTCCGAATATTGGGCTGTGGTCCACGGCCTAAGCTGGCCGACCCCAAGCATCTCGTCTCTGATCGAGCTCCTATTGCGCGCCACGTTGGGATGCCTCAAAAGAGAGGGCGACCCGCGGCCGCATTGGTGGGAGACCTATCACCCCCCCATGGAGGGTCATAAGTCCCCTCCTTGCCATCGGACACGGGTACCCGATGAGGTTAGATTTATGCTGCATTTAAGAAGGTGGGGTGTGATCTCCTGTATCTCGTTATGGGACTGCTGTGCCGAATCGGTTGTCTTATCGCGAGGAACTGAGACTTACAGTCGCAAGGCAGGTTCACAATTGACCGTTGGGTTTCAAGTTCGAGCATCACTTTGTGAAAATTAATTCGTTCTAGTTTATCGCCTTATTTTATTTACTGCATTATTTTAGAACTTTTCCTTTTTTTTTTTAATTCTTGAATCCGGAAAGGCCCGAAAAGGACTAGTTGGGATACCTCATTCAGAACGCAGAGAGGAAAGCCCTATAAGAAAGAAGAATGAGTCGGGATATCGTCCGCAGCCAGCCACCTTGTAGCACGCTGTCTGTACCGCAGGTGTAGAGGGGTGTGCTATTGGAAGTTGGTGACTTTATGCTGCGCTGTTTACCGGGCAGGCGCTGACTATTGAGAGAGCAGCTATGGCGCTGCATGGGTACAGGCCCGGGTACTGGTATGACCAGGCCCGTTGGAAGCCCGTGTCCGGGGAAGGGCCCTGGATTACCGTCATACTCAATTATGACGGTGGAGATGAACTGATACTGAAGATCAACGTGGAGGGAGCACGAGAGGGGGAGATGCGGACTAACCCGAAGCTGCAGGACGCGATTTTGGAGGCTAAAGACCGGGCGGAGAGACGCTGTAGACGGGACAGAGTGACGGCAAGGCTACGGATAACGGTGGCTTACCACAAAACTGAGACCTCGATGGACACGGCGGACCTGCAACAGGTCCACCGGGACAGAGACTTAGGAGGGGAAAGTGAGATGAGTGACGCAGATCGAGAGAGGGATCTCAGGTCCTCGAACAAACCAGGAGAGATCCAGAGGCATCACCGGGCTGTCAAGCCGGTGGAAGAGGGACCCGAGGCCAGCTCGGGACGGCAGACACCCAGAGGCTGTGGGGCGGGTGAAAAGCAGAGCAAGGGGAAAAGACAGTGCTGAGAAAAGACACGAGAGAATGTGTGAACAAGACTGAACCCAAAAAAACGGGGGATCTGAGGCAAGTGCAGTTGCACGGACACACGCGTGACAGGTGGCGAGGCCTGAAGAGTGATAAGGCGGTCAACGAAAAAAGAGAAGGTATGAGCGAAAGCGGAATGGGGCAAGTGTGTGGTGTATGACAGGCACGTGGCAGGCTGGAAGAGAGAAAAAGAGTCAACAAGTGCGGGCGAGTTGCAGGCAGGGACGCGCGAACTCGGGAGATAGCCTCAGCGTTCGTACTCAAGATTTTTTTTTGCTTGCAGAGTCGATCCAGAGATCAATGCGTAGCTGTTCTGAGAAGCGGGGAGTGAGCTACAGGACAGCTACAAAGATACACAGGTGACACGTGGCACGGCCCGAAGAGAGAGGCGCCGGCCAGCGGGAAGTGGGGAGAGAAAGGCGAGAATTGAACAAGTGAGGCGACGGTCAGTAAGAGGAGAGAGGCGGAAAGAGCGGAAACGGGACAAGTTCGCGGAGCGTGATTGATGTCAACGGCTGCCTATGCGCTCGTGTGGTGCATAAGCCTATGGTGGTCGATAGAAGAGAGAGAGTTTTCTCTCGTGTGAGAGAGAGACCTGGGCGACACGTGGCATGTCTCCGAGGGACACAGTGAGAGAGAGTCAACGCGGGAGACTGGACGACAGAAAAGCTGATGCGCGGAAACACGAGGGGAGATCATTAACTCGAGGTGATTTTCTTGGCAGTCGCCAACTGCTCAGGGCAAGCTCGGATTATAGACACCGTTCGCGTGACTTCATCGCTATTGAAGGGACGAGGGTCACGATTGGGAGAGGGGTGTGAGCAGACAGGAGGAAAGGACTGGTGTGTACGAGGAGTAAGTGCGTGACAAGTATGCATGTTTGAAGAAGGTTGACTTTAGTTTGGCTATGGCGCGTTGAAAGTTAACTCGAAGCGGCACGCGTGAAAATCAAGTCGAGAGACTTACGAATCTTGAGTTTTCGGACATGAATCGTGTTTTAGCCAGTTAATTTCCTGTCCTCGGTGAGTAGTGGTTTGGGGACGAGCTCCGAACCGACTTACCTTCTTGGTCGCGCTGGTGTGGGGTTGTGACATAAGAGGTCCCTTCTGCCCTTATCTCTCAAAAGTGTGAGCTCGATTCCGTGCTGCGAAGAGCTGTAGACAGATTTTCATTTTGAGGGCCAAGAGTGATGGGAGACAGGCTGGTGATCAGCGATGGGCTAAGAAAATGTGACGTCTGATAGACTGTGGACGCGGGCTCAAAACTCTGTATGCGAGAACCAGTTACCTTTATTGACAAAGGTAATAGCAGTGAAAACCGAAGGGGGTTAAATCGAGTGACAGTTAAGTGTGTCTGAGTGTTGGAGGTCACGTCATTCAATGAAATTGCTAATTAATGTTCACGATCTAAGTAAACTGTTAGAAAATCAATAAAACTCTTGTTTGTTGTTTTCTTGCTTAAATCCCGACTGGGATGACAATGGAGTGAGCGAATAATGTTCGAAAATGTGAAAAGACTCTGTGCTGCATAGGACAAGCCTCGCTACCGGTTTTGATCCCTCCTTCTTAAGGTTTTGTTTTCGGCGAAGTATTTCCCTGGTTGATTAGCTGACTTGGGTGCTTGCCCTGCAATACCCCTTTCCCTGAAAGATACTTGTACTACTCCTCATAATTGCCTAAACTGAGTTGGGCGTGTATCGAGGCAATTTTCTCTTTTCCTTTATTGATGGTTTAGTTCTGAGCATTGATTGATGAACGAGGTAAAGTTAATCTTGAGGAGATTGCTTACCTATTGGCTAAGTATCTACTTGACGGAGATTAGTTAATCTTTATCAATGCTAGCTTGTTGATCAGTAGCCAGTTTTAGTTAGTTCATGCGAACAATGAGCAATGTGCAAGTGATTGAGGGAATACGTTGTAGGGGCCATACCCTGTAGGACTTTCGAGCCTCGGTCGACCCTACTGCGGGTCCCATTTGGCTCGACTCGCCCACGCTCACGCTCAGGGCACGGGTCGTTCGTCCCAGGGGCACCCCCACCTAAGGCTTTGCGATGGACGGGGATGGACCGATTGCGAGAGGGCTTTACATTGGGGGATGTAGCTCCGCTCTTGCGTCAAGATGGTAACTTTTCGGCACTCGTGACGTTTTCTTGATTCATTAAGGTCTGACCAGGCAATTGCTCTTTCCAATACGCAAGCAGTCCAGGGAGTTCATTGAGGTCTCATCTTCTTATCGAGCGCAGGCCAAGCGTCATCCATTGGGCCACGCACCTTTTCACTAAGCCTAGTGGCCCTCGGCAGCCCCGAAGGCCGCGTCGCCCGAACCCCTAGCCGCAATATTCTCTTTTTTTTGCGAGAACCGCTAGCATCACATCCACCTACCAAAGACCGGCCTTAGTCTTTTCAGGGGTCGCATCGCATATGAGAGAGACATTCTATGCAATCCCACGCAAGTCGAGTCCATGCATCAAACATTCACCCAAGTACCGGTCTCAAACTCAACCCCCACCCACGACTTAAGCCGGGTCCAAGTCCTTTTCCCATAGCCAAATCTCCCATTCTAGTCCTCATCCGTGGATCCAGCCCGTCTGAATAGTCCCAAGCTACTCACCTGCGCATGACCACACAAAAACAAATGTCCAAGCACAATCCCCATCGAGGTCAACACATCGCCCCATCCTGCGAGCCTAAGTTTCCCTTTCCCTTCCATGCTCCCTTGGTTTTCTTGCCCCTCGCTTCCCTTAAGCAGCCCATGCATTCACCTTAGTCATGCAGTCGGGGGAGGTGGTTGAGTCAAACTGACCTCGTCCAAAATCAGCATTCCTTTCCCCTTTCGCAATTGCTTTCAATGGTTCCGTATCCTTCCCTTCTTGGTGGCATAAGGGACCGAATGTCCTTCCCTTGCCCGCGCTTTCCACCAAGAGAGGACTAAGTTCCTT